AATAAATGTTATGTTTTCAGTTTGCTTATATTAATTACACTGCTTCCCTGCGTAAAAAACATTGTTCCATTAGACGAAAACATTAAATAACTTCAACAACTCAAAAAGCATAGCGTTATTTATACAGTGGTTTTTCCGTATAAGGAAGGACACGAAGAAAAGAAATAGCAAATTATTAAAAATTAATATTGGGGGGGGATGTGCTTTTCAGTTAATGCCGTCGTTTAAACGTTTTGATATATTTTGTGTAAATTTTCTTGTATGGGAAACAGGAATCTTAGTCCATTCTTCTTATAGTTTATTGTTCAGATCTTGGACGGAAGAGATTGAGTGTTTTCGCACACGGCTGGCTCAATTCAGCTCAATTCACATATTTTTGATAATGTTCAGACCTGGTAGTTGGGAGAGAGGGTGAAGCACTATGGGGCAGTTATATACGAGCCATTCTTGAATTATACGGGACTTATGCTTGAGGTAATTATCTTGGCAGAATTTGAATGTGTCCCAAATACCAAGTTCGTCCGCACTCTCTTTCAAAATTTCCTTCAATATCCTTAAATAACCCTCCTTGTTTAGAATGCCATCCATAAACTCCAATATTCCGACTCCATTGGCTTCTAGCCAAACCATAACATGACCGTTGCCATGCTCGCCGTAAGCCGTTGGCGCAAGAACCTAACGGGAAACTAAGGTTAGAATTTGTCAGGGAAGACGCCTAATTCTTAATGGGATTTACGAAACAAAAAATGAATGCTTCAAAGGGAGAACCTACGAGAAAGAAACACTACGGATAAATTGTTTCATATGTGAGCTATGCAGCCTACTTCCAGGATACCATGTGGCGTACGCGCATTTCCAGAATAACAAGATATGAAAGAAATGCTTTGGTACAGTCGACACTTTGCCGATATTGTGTTATGGTGTTTGCCACCCACTATAAGCATATTCACAGTATGAGACCGGGAACCTCCCAAAAACTCTTGTGATCTCCTTAACTAATTTTGAACTAACATTAACGAAAATCTACAAGGGCGAAGTATTTCTTGCACTTTTTTAAGAAAACCGAGCCTGCTTTCCAAAAGACATCACCTTTATGACCAGAATATCAAGCGCTCTTAATAATTCCACATGAACACAACCAAAGGTGAGGAACGCACTCGGCATTTCATCTGTGTGATAAAGGCCGCAAGAAGGCATGGTCTAAATGGCAACACATTAACATTAAGTTACTTATAACAGAAATTTATAGACGGGAGAACATTATAGCTTCTATGTAAGACATAAGATGCCTTAAAGTGGGAAATCGATGACAACTCGAAGAAGAAATTTAATCAAAAAAAGAACCTGATATTTACGAACCAATAATTAAGAATTGATCCCCTATTCACGCCGCAGATAGTCGCTCAGTCTCTTCATGCTATTAACGTTCCCAGAATGATGAAGAAACAAGTAACATGCATTAGATCTCTTCGTAACAAGTAATGGGTAGGTGTCCATTCTTTTCTTTATATATTATAACAAAGAGTTCTTATTGAACAAATATCCTTATAATAACTAAATTATTTCTAAGTTGTTGTAAAAAAGAATTCCAACATCTATGCACTGTCTTTGGTTTCTCGTATTCAGTTTCTTATAACTGAACCGCATTGATCGTATTCATTGTTATCCTTGCTGCACTGTGGCGACTACATTAGCCGCCTGTTGGGCCACTCCGATTCCTTTAACTGCACCATCTCGAACTCGTTGACCGGCTCGTTCCTTTTTTGAAGCATTTATACATTAAAGAATACAACTATCAAGCATGTGTAGAGCAAAAAATGTACTTACAATTTTTTTACCGATTTTTTTTAAAAAGCCAGCTTCACTTTGGCCCATACTAAGAGCCAGAATCAGAACGACTAATACGAATAGTTTTGAGAAATTCATTTTTGCGTTAAGTTAAATTCAATTGAACAATTTATTGTGCATAAGAGATGAAGGAATTTTTCTTTTTTATGTTCACTCTTCAACAAATAATAATATTTTGATAGATTTCAATAGACAAGCTTTAGCTTTTATATGGAATAAGTGCTGTCTAAACATAGCGGAAAGCAAGTGAGCGGAGCAAACGAAAACATTCGTGAAAATCATTGCCCTTTCACTTAAACGGGGAAACACCTCTTTAGGAAAGAAAAAAA